AGCACCAACTGAGCCTTTCGACTTAGAGCTCTACTCAAACCACAACTCTACAGAATATGTGAGGGATCTGGGGACCTGCTCTGCTCCCCCAGGTTTTGCAACCACCAACCATGTGCACGGACCAAGCATGGTGGGACTGTGGGGAGCTGTACCGCTGCTGCGGGAGCACGCTAGAGACTGGCGGTGACTGCAAAGCCATTGGTGCATGGGGACGGTGCACGGGTGTGCTCTGCCTCACCTCCAGCCAGGAGACAACGGTGGGGCCATCCCAGTGAGCAAAGGGCAATCCTTTCCTCCGAGCTTCTTCCAGGAGTTCATGCCTGGAGGGAATAGAAGAAGAGTGGTTTACTGGGGGCTTGTGGGGAAGGGAGCAGCTCTTGAAATGGAATAGACCACGGGTAGTAAGAACCAGCTGGTAGCAAAGCAATAAAGGAGCTAAAAGGGCTCAAGAGGGTGAAGATGAGAAGCCTTTCCAGCAATTCCCAGTCATGGCTTCTCAGCTATCTGGCAGGACATTTTCTTACTGGGGCAGGGAAGGAGGTTCACTCACTTCTTCCGCAGGCGCCGATCCTTCTCAGCCTGAGCACCCAGCTTGCCAAGTCCCAGCAGGTCCTGCATGCCCACCTCCACGTCAGTCAGCACCACTGTTGGGCAAGCGAGACATCCTCTGGTCAGTGTGACATCCCCAGGGTCAGCATGACATCCCCCAGCGTCAGTGTGGGCACTGCCACAGTCCCCATGCCAGGGTGTTGGGGATGCACAATCGCAGCACAGGAGGTGACAGTCTCCATTTCCAACCGCCCCCCAGCTCCCCTGCGCCCAAGGGGATCCCTGCCTGCTATCCCTCCCATTTCAAGATGCTCAACATCGAAGCAGTAAAGGATTTAGGAGTGGAAAAGCAGCTCCCACCAAAGGGCTGTGCAAAATCAATAAGGTCCCATGGGGAGAGAAGCAGATTTGGGGACATTAAAGATAAGATACAGTGATGGGGGGGGTCACTGTCCTCGCTGCAGCTCTTGCAGAACATCAAGACTGATACCATGCTCATGGCAGAAAGGGCTGCAGGGCAGAAAGCACCAGGACACAACTGCCCTGAAGCTGCAGGGAGCCCAGAGCCAGTGGCCACAACATCCCCAAACCAGCAGGGGTGACCCTGCTCCTCCGCCTGTCACCTCCACAGCACCCCAAAGCCAGACAGTGCCGGGAGGCGTGCAGAGAGCCTGGCCCGAGGGGACACCCGCCCGGCACGGATGGGAATAGGGCTGCTCACGGACCCTGCCCTGTGGCCCCTTCTCTGCTCAGCTGAATCAAGCGACCCTTCTCTTTTTTCCCGAACAAGCGCCCGATGGAGGACTTGATCCCCTTCCTCTTGGAGCCCTTGTGCAGGGAGTCCTGGCTGCTGTTGCTGCTGGGGTTGCTGGCCTGCTCCTCCAGCGAGCTGGGGATGGAGGAGGGAGAGGAACAGCAAAGCCTTTAGGTTATTCCCGAGCAGTGCACAAGCCATGGCAAACCCCAGACCGTCCCACAATCCCACGCTTCCCATGTAAATCCTCAAACCAACAGAGCAGACACTGGTGTGAGATCCCAAGGGTGCTCCACATACCTCTTCCCATCCTCCTGACTTAGCGCGGGGTGGCCCAGCTTCTCCAGCCGCAACGTCCTGGGTGAGGACGGGGGGGACGTCTCGCATTTGATGGTGGTTTTATCCTCTCGGCTTTCATCCCGAGCTGCAGGCGACTGAACAAGCAGAGAAGCCATGAGGCTGGGCGGCCAAAACCCAGCTCCATCCTTGCCCTGCTGCCTGCCTCTCTCTTGCTCCGTGGAGGCATGGCCAAAAGAGCCACCAGGGCCCTGAGGCTTTGCCACGCTCCAGGATCGGCCTGAACGAGAGCTCTGGCAATGGCTCGAGATGCCCAAGCAGATGGGGAGGATGTGGCCGTATGGCCAAGATCCTGGGAACAGGGAGGAGAGAGGACGCAGCCCCATGGTCCAGGTCAGGGTATGGGGACAGAAGCTGCTGGCCCTCAGCAGAGGGCTCTGAGGAGCACAGATGGGAATGTCCCAAAAACACCCTGTCGCCAGAGGGGACACACAATGTTTGAGGACCCAGTGGCTTTCTGAACCTCCCCATGTCCTGCCAGACCCCCCAGGCTGCGAGCCGGCACATCTCCAAGCACCTTATGAGATCCCCATGATCCTCTTGCTGAATCCCTGGGGTCCCCAGCTCCATCCCGCGCCTGCTGCACCCTGACCTGGTGTGGACAAAGCCAGGAGCAGGCTGGAAAAGGGGCTTGGACAAAAACCAACGGGATGGGAGCCACTCACTAGCAGTTTCCTCCGGTGCTTCCTCAAGTCGCTGGGCTGATTGCAAGGGGGAAAGCGAGAGAGACACAGAAAGGGGGGCAGTTAATGGAGAACCCCCGCGCAGAGCAGCCCCGGGGCCAGGTGTGCCAGGCTGGGAGACAGCAAACATGGGCACCCCCGTTCCACATCGCCCTCCCGCACACCCCTGCAGATGCCGGGGCATCGCTCCTACCCCAGGCAGCCACACACACCCCCTGTCCAGCCCCCCATCCATCCCGTGCGCCTCCTCACCAACGTCATGATCCCCATGCGGTCGAGGTCCTGAGCGGCGCTGCGGGAGGAGAGCTTGGGGGTGGAGCGGCCGCTGAGCGGTGGGGATGAGCTGGCCAGGGACAGGGCCGTCAGCGAGGTGGGGATGGAAGCTCTTTTGCAGAGCTGGGTGAGGTTGAGGCCCTCCATGCTGCCGCTTGTGACGCGGGTCTCCAGCTCTTCTGCGCGGAGCTCAGTGGACTCCTTCTCCTCTTGGATCATCCTGGGGGAGCAGCAGGGCTCAGGGCTCCTGGATCCCCACCTTTCTGGGGAGTCACCTCACACTTCCCAGCCATTGGATCTCCCTACCCTGGGGAAATGCACCTTGGGTGCTGTGACTCGAGCCCCTGACCTCCAGGAATGGCAGCAAGATCCATTGGGATCCACGTAAACCAGAGCTGAGACACACCACGCTTTCTTTTAATATTCATGGGGGACTTGTTTTTAAAATAATGATCCTTTCTGTGAGCCAGCACTGGTGCAGTTGAGAGCCAGGGAGCCATGTGTGGGAAGGACCAGCTTGGCTGTCCTGGAGCCATTTCCCTGGCTGAAGCTGGACCAAGACCTCAATTTTATGGCATCAGAGCCTCCTGCCACTGCCTGGCAGTTTGTTGCCCCTCAGAGCCATTTCAGAGCAAGGCAGTGGTGGGTTCTGGCCACGGTCACTACCTGATCTCCTCGTTGATGGCATCCAGCTGCTCCTGGAGCATCATGGCCAACGTCTGGGCGTCCGAGTGCCCACCAGGGGAGAGCACATCCATGGAGCTGAAGAGTGTCTCGCGGTCATCCTCGTCCACATCGGAGATCTCGGGGTCGCTGTCAAAGGCATGAGGCCCCGTGGCCAGGACGCTGCCTGCCTGGGCCTGCTCCCAGTCCTGGGGGAACAAGGTCCATTGGTCCCACACAGCAGCCCCATGTCTCCAAAAGCCAAACTGGAGGCCTCCACACAACAGTCACACCTCAACACATCCCCAGCAGGGAAACCCTTCCTACCACATTACTCCCATCCATGCACCAGGTTAAGAAAATTGCCCCATGTCCCCAGTTCAGGGACAGGTGAGATCAGCATGCAAGGCAGGAGGAGACCCCCACCCCAACTCTGACCCCATGCTGGCATGAAGATGGATTACCTTGGCTGGCTCCTCTCGCCGGGCGGCGAACCGGCCCTTCTGCACCCGAGGCAGGCCTGGGGCTGTCCCGAAGGGCTCGGCAGGGGCATGGACCACGGCGCTCAGTGGGAAGCGCAGGTCCGTGGCACTGCCCATATGGGACCTGGGAAGAAAGAGCCCTGCTGCGGACATTGCTCCATGCAAGGATGCCCCTCTCGCTGGGCTGCTCCCCTCGCAGCCCAGACTAGCTCAGGACAGAGAGGAGGAGGAGGAGGCCACTCCGGGATGCCCACCCCAGCGATGCCTGCCTACTCTGTGTGAAATGATGCAAAACTAGGCTCCGCACAAAGGTGCCCCATTTCCCCCACGCTGGCGCTGGAGATGTGCTCACAGACTGTAGGAAGCTCAGCCCTGGGCCCTACCCCGCTGCGGCCTCCCTCTTCACTGCAGTACCCACTGGGGCACCCAGCCAGTTCTGGCCAAAACCACCCTGCGCAGGGGCTCTGCTGTGAAGCCGTGGGCTGAACGGTCCCCCCCTGTCCTCCTCTCTCGAGAACAGCTTACACCTCCCAACACATACAGTATGTCTTATACCTGTTTTCTCCATCCCCATGGTATGGAACAGGGGCCAGTCAGGGAGCTTTTCTCCTTCTTTTTATGTTTTCTTTAACATTTTAATGAAAAAAACCCCTGATGAATAAAATCCCATTTGAAACAGATCTTCCTTGTGCGGGGACATGAGCATTTTTTGGGATTTCCCAGCAGAAACCAGCTGGGACTTCTTCATCCTCCGCCTCCATGCTCGGCTGGTGCTCGGGAGCGGGTCCCCATGCCAGGCAGAGCAACGCAGCAGTTGCTGTTGGGACATGAGGCCACTTTTTGCCGCTCGTGGTACTCATTGCGTATCTCCATGTTGCCTAGTTGCTCCCCTTTGCCCTGAAGACCCAACCACGCAGCTGAGCAAAGCACCTTCCCGGAGCACAGGATCATTACTCCCTATATGCATTGCCATAGGAGGCATGAGGTTTTTTTGATTTAAGATGACAAAAACAGTCGTCCAGAGCAGATCAAGGTTTTTCCACCATGGTCGGTCTGGTTTCCAGTGCAGACACAGATCCGGGCTCCCCACCCCAGCATCCCACCGAGCCCAGACAAAACCGCTAACACGAGCAGCTTGGCTTGGCGTCAGCTTGGTGTTTGCAGACGAAGGCACAGCCCAAGTTTCAAGGGGATTTAAGCTGTGGAGCCGCTGACAAGCTGCTCCTGAGCTAAAAACAGATAAAGGCGCCTTAGACAAAAGCTGACATTTCAGCTGGGGGATTATTCTGGCCTCTGTAACTCAAGCTTTCTGCTGAATTTTCCTCCAAGAAATTAAAAAAAAAATAGAAATTGCCCATCCTGTTCTTACAGTCCCATACAAAGAGGTCCCACTCATGCTCCAGACACTCCTCTGGCACTCAGCTATCCTTCATCCTCACAAGCTCGTCCTTGCTCTCCCCATTTCTTCTCTCCATGACAGATACAGGGCTCCAGGCCTTCTCCTCTCTGCCCCAGCTGCTGACAGATTTGAAGCTGGTTACACTGGCTCCTTTCCATCTTTTCCAGCTTTCCCGAGAGGTGAATTTTCCCCACTGGTGGTCGCTCTCATTGATCCCTCACTGCCTCGAACCCACGTCGAAAGTGCTCAGGAGAGGATGTGGGCTCCCAGGCAGCCGCAGCAACGCAGCGGGGTGCATGTCGTGCTGGCACCCTCCTTTTCTAACCCCCTGGTTTCTTGCAGCGGTGCTGGGTACCCTGGTCAGTGCCGGAAGCTGAGACCCGATGGACTCACCTCTCCTCCTGGTGCTCAGAGCTGGGACCTCCCCGTCTCCCAGCTGACTTTAAATGAAAGGGTGTGGGAGGACCATTATAGGGAGGAGGGGGAAAAACGGGGGGGTTCCTTCTCCTTTGCCTGCAAACCCCAAAAGAGATTCCTCCTTCTCCAGCAGCCCATCCCCAGCACACCACAGGGGGAAAGGCATTTGGTGAACATAGTTTGCATAGAAAATTAAGCCCTAAGCCCTTTGTGCAGAAAAAGAAGCAATGTCCAGTGGTTTTTGCCCTTAGAATAGCAAATTTTAGGCTATTCAGTTGGGCTGGGCTATTCTCAACAGTCTGTGTCCCACCCCAGGACAAATCCGTGGTGGGGACAGCGCAGCCAGCGCCAACCCTGCTGTGACGAACCAACCTGCAGCCCTGCGCTGAGGCTGGGTGAAACCAGAAATGCCTGATGCCAACAGCATTTTGGGACCCTAAAAGCAAAATGCCCGCAAAGCCGTGGGTGCAGGCAGGGTGCGCACAGGCTGGCGAGGTTTTGGCGGGTGGCCCTTACCTTGCGTGCACGCTCTCCACGAATGTCCCACTTCTGGTCTTGAGCTGATCAACCTCCAGCCTCAGTTTGTCAATCTCGTCAGACAACCGTCGCTGTTCAGGGTGAGACAAGAGACAGGCAGGGGTTGGTTTTGCTCTGAAGAGCAGCCAGGTTTGGGGCAACCCTCCTCCTTAGCTATTTCCAGGTTTATATTCCCTTTAGAAGTCCCTATCCCAGGTTTAAAGCACCTTTGACATATCCATAAAGAAACGGCTCATGCAGGCGACAGTGAATGACGATGCTGGGGCGATGCCGCGAAGGGAGGAAGTGATCACAGGCCAGACAGACAGACGCGTGCTCGAAGCAATGCTGGTTTGAGAGATGGAGGAAAATCGGTCCCACTAGGGTGCTCTGGTTTTGCTCCAGACTGCACGTGCACATTCGCCTTGGCAAAGGGCCGGCAGTGAAGGACCCGCTAGCCAAATTTGATGCTGGCCCTGCCCCTCCTGCTGCCAGCCCCATCCTCATCGGGAACCTGTGCCTGCACTACATGGCCGTGCTGTCCTGCAGGAGATGCGACGGGGAAGGCTGCGGGCGGGCAGGGAGGCAGGGGAGACGGGATCCTTCAGGCACAGCAGGATCCAGTCCTGTGGGCAAACAGGCTGACCCAGGGTGGGCAACATGCAGGCAGTGTCATGCGAGTCTCCAAGCTTTGCCTCTGCCTGGAGCTGAGCAGCTGTGGCTGGGAAGCGCAAGCGGTGCCCGCACATCCTCACCGCAGGCAGGGAGCATCTGGGAGAGCAAGCCCCTGGGCAAGGGGGAAAGCAGCCCCTCAATCCCCCCAACCATGCATGAGACATGGGGCACATCCCAAAAGCTCCAGTTGCTTCAAAAAGCTACAACCCGCCATCTTTCCAGCACAGGCCAACACGACTCGTGTTGCAGACCCTACTTAGATGTTTTATCTGAGAGCAGGGGAGGTGCAAAGACCTACGGGGCCTTCTGCAAGCTGGGTGTGGAGCAGATCTTTCCCCCAGTTCGAGTGAGGGGGTCAAGAAAGCCTCGGGGGCGAAGGGGACGTGGCTGCCCGAGCAGCACTGTCCCTCGCAGCCAGGCTGCACCAAGGAGCGCTGGGGTAAACCCTCCCCTAGACACGCGGGCGAAGCCACCCCGGCCTCGCTGCTGTCCTCGGCGGGGGGTCAGGGATGGATGAGCGTGATAGAAATATGGAGACGGGACTGAACGTGCCTGTTAGGGAACCGAACCGGGGGTCTCCAGGGAGGTGGGTGGCAGCTTCCATCCAGCCACTGCGTGGGTTAGTTTGTGGCCTCCTGCTGCTGGGCGCTTTGGGATCCCAGCTCCTCCGAAACTAAGGTATTTTAGGAGGTGCGACTGCCACTAGCCGGGGATTAGGAGTGAGGAAGCGCAGTCACTAGGGCAGGCTCCCTGCAGCGGCATTTACCTTGTCGTGCTGGTGTTCCTCTATCTGCTTTTGGGTATTTTCCAGCTCTTGTAACAATGTGTTCTTTGAAAAACAAAACAAAAGAAAAGGGAACAAAAACAGGAAAGAAAAAGAGAGACCGTTTAGAAAACGGCCATGCGGCCTCCCAGGAATGGCCAACATGGAATTGCTGCGTGGACAGTGTGACAGATGCCTGGCAGGAGGGATGGCAATGGCTCCCTGATCTATTCCTCACCTACCTGCCTGCGAACCGGTCTTCTCTGCAACACTCCTGCTCCTCAGGCAGGGCTGCCGTAGCTCAACTCCTGCCCCACACCAGGGCACGGCCATGGAGGGCAAGCGGCGATTAGAGGTTTGATGGGCAGGGCTTGAAGATTAGGAAATGTGTCTGAGAGGAGATCAACTCCTTGAGTAGCTGGATCAAGGGCAAAAATGTCCCCTACATCTAAGCTAGGGAATATAGGCGGGGGAAAAGAAGATGCGTTTGCAACTGCCTGACCTTGTGCTCTTTTTGGGAGGTGCCAGCAGCCAAACAGCACCATTTTTGCCCACGGAAGACCTGGAGAAACTCTCTGGGTGAGCCAGTGCTGGCAGCAAGCTAGGGAGCAGACAATGCCCCTTTGCAAGGTGCTCTGGTCCCTGTTGCTTGCTGGGGTGGGAATTTGGACTCAGCCCCATGTGTTGGGTCCTGCTTTTTATCCAGAGCCACTCAGCCATCTCCTGAACAACCGGACACGCTGGCACAGCCAGGTCTGCTTGGGGACAGGAGGCGCAGAGCAGCAGGGAGACAGACCCGGTCCTGGAGGGATGCAACCCCTCTGTGCTCTGACTTGCTAAGGGGAGCCTGGTCCCTGCAGGAACCCAAATAGAGGTGAATTATCAAGGGCTGACCTCCCGTTGGCATGGCGAGGTTAATCCTTGCTCTGAGCCACCTGCTCTCCCAGCTAATTGCAGTCACGCTGGGGCAGCAGCAGCTCCAGCTGGCTCCTCAAAGGAAAGCCCAGCTCTCCAGAAGGAGCGGGGGGGGGAGCTGGGGGCTGCTCCTGGACTCTGCCCTGGCTGGGAGAAAGCAGATCAGTCCGGGCTTGGGGGACAAGAAGGTTTCAAGGCAGCATGTGGAGGGGATGGGCAGGTGGGAGGGGATGGATGCTGCATTTTCTCCTGCAAAATGCAGTAGGGTTTTGCTCCGACAGCCGGGTGCAGGCTGCAGTCGAGGCTGCACCAGAAAAGACAAGGAAGCCAGGGAACAGAGCAGGACGATTCCCGCTGCTGTTGGAGGTGAAAGGCAGTGGGGAGTGGGTCTTACTGGGCGAGGGCTGGCTGGAGGCGAGGGTGCGATGCAGAGCACGCTTCCCTGCGCTCCCACCACCCCCAGCGCCCGGCTGGCATCCTGCATGGGATCATTTCTCCATCCCTGCACAGGTACTTCCAAAACCCTGTGCTGTGGCTCGCCAAGGCTCCGTGCCGGAGGGGCATCCTCTCCTTGAGGTGCAGCTGCAGCCGCTCTTTGGACTCGCTCAGCAGACGGTCCACGGTATCCGAGAGCCGCTTGTTGTGCTCCTCATTCATTTTCTCCCGCTGGCGGGCCTGCAACAGCAAACAGTGACCGGTCACATCAGATTCAGTGGATCTGCTCCTCCTGCCACAAGGGGCTCAGTGCCCTCCTGCCATCCCGTGCCTGCTGGTGGTGTCAGAGCTGATCACCAGGCCCAACTTTTGGGGACAAATTCACCCCTTACAGCACAGACCGGACCCTCCACTGGGACTCTGCTGATCTCTGCCATTTCCCAGCCAAAGATGAAGAGGAGAGGATCCAAAGAGATCCTGCCTGCCTGACCCTCAAGAAAGTTTGACCTGTGTGTCTGCCAGGGACAGCCACACGGGGGGCACGTTCCAGGCTCCAGTGGGGGCTGATCCTCTGGATTTGCAAAGGTCTCTCCAAATCTCTGCCCTAGGCCAAAACAATCAGGGCCTTCCCCAGGGGCACACGCTGTAATACCACCTGGGTGACCCGAGAAATGGGCATCACGACCTCCTGCGTGGACAGCCCAGCCACTGGCTAAGGAGCACAGTGGGGATTGTGCGTCCTGTGACACATCAGCTTGGCCTCCCTGTCTTCTTGAGGGGCAACACCCTCTGCTCCCAGCGCCCATCAGGCTCGCCCAGCTGCTGATCCAGGCTGGGGGGAAGAGCAGCTGGAGCCTTCCCCTCTGCCCTGCATTTGGGGTCCCAGCTTGGCCCATGGGGCGATGCTGGGAGAGGAGTGGATGTGGCATGCTAACAGCAAGACTTGGATGCCTGGGAGAGGGGGAAATCACAGCAGAGTGTCATGAGCTCCTGGGTAGCTCTAGTTTAAGAGATCCTGAACGGGACAGGATTAACCAGTCTCCTCTCCCCATCCTGCTTCAGAGACACCAGCAAGCCAGCCCTTTGTGGTGTGCCCAGGTACCCAGCCACCCTGGCAAAGGGGAGCCAAGGCCAGATTGGGACCCATAAGGACTCCCTTGTACAGGCTGAGCTCGCTTACCCTCGCCAGCTCCTGGTTCTTCTCCTCCAGCTGACTCTCCAGCTGCCGGAGGTGCTCCTCGATGCTCCCATGCCTCTCTTCTGCCTGGGAAAAGCAGAGCAGCGCTCTCAGATGCTGCTCCCCAAAACCATGCGGGCCCTCCTGCATCCCTCCCTCCATCCCTGCATCTCCATCCCTCCCTGGGCACTCCCTCCCACTGCCTGCATCCCCGCCTGGGTTCACCATGTGCTGTGAGCCCAAACCAGCCCTGCTAGCTGGTGCATGGGAGATGGAGGTGCTCTGTCAGTGACTTGGCACCCATTCCAGTGCCTGGGAAGAGCAGAGCTGGCCGTATCCGCACCTCCCTCCAGGCCTGCACCCTCCCAGATGCAGCCTGGGTCCTTCCTCTTCCTCCTCATCCCAGAGTGGTCCCAGCACAAGCTGAAGGCCACTCAGATCGACAGGGCCATCTCTGCCTTGGAGAAAGGAGCTGAGGGAAGGGAGCAAACCCCGCACATGCAGGACACATCGGCAGCTTTAAAAACCATGCCTTGTCCCTGCAGCCACGGGGGAGGCAGAGGACAGCAAAGCTCAGAGGCTGGGAATGAGAGCAGGGTGCCCTGGGCCTGCCAGGGGCTCCATCGCCACAGGGGGATGGCCAGACCTGCCTCTTCCTCTGGTTCCTGCACTCCGTTCTGGCTCTGGTCCCTCATCACCCCGCACACTTGCCTTGGTGAGTGCGGCAATGCGCTGGGCCAGCTCCGCTTCCACCTCGGGCAGCGTCTCTGCCTTCCGCATCGTCTGCTGCAGCTTCTGCTCCGCCAGCTCCAGCAGCTCCTGCAGGTGCCGGGCTTTCTCCTCACACTGCAGGACAGAGCAGGATGGGTGCCTGGCACTGAGCCTTGCCTGCTTGTCCCATCCCCAGCACCTGCTTCTCCCTCCCAAGTCTCCAGGGTAGCGGGAGCCTTTGGGTCCAAGCTTTGGTACCTGGCGGTGCAGGGACTCCTTGTTGGCCAACTCGCTTTCCAGCTTGTCGTTGAGGTCGTGGATGGAGGTGGCTTCTCGCTGGGCTGCCAGATAGCGTTTCTCCAGCGTGGTGATCCTCTCCTCCATGTCCTCTTTCTGAGCCAGGGCCTGGGGAAGTGATAGGGCTGTCACATCCTGATCTGTGACCACCAATCTGGGAAGAACTGGGCCACCCAGTTCCTGAGAGCCTGGGACACCCCCAAGTCCAAACATGCAATGAAAACTCTGCTCTGCACAGGAATGAAGGACAGCAGAGCAGGAGAGCAATAAAGGGAGAGTCAGGCAACCACAGAAAAACCCTCTAGCATGGTCACAACTCACTGCCCCAGGTCTGCAGCACACCTGGGTGTCTTGGTGTCTGCTTATAACCTCAGGGAAGTCCTGCTGATGGACTTGGGGACAATCTCCCAAAGGCAGTGGCCTCTTTTGGGGAACACTGGCCTTTACCCTGCATACAACAGGAATTACAATCCCTTCCCAGCCCAGAGCATGTGGGAGCTGCTGTGAATGTCTCTGAAACTGCAACAGGCTTGGCAGTGCAAGAGGGCAGTGTCTAACCTCTCGGAGGTCCCTCTGGTACTTGCTGCTCATCTCCTCCGATTTAATCAGATCCTTCCTGGCGGTGCCCAGATCCTCCTCCAGCTCGGCGACGCTGGCAGCCAACGCAGAGATGCGCTCCTTGGCCTGGACCACTTCGAAATTCTGCTTCTCCAGGAGCTCCTGCAGCTCCACCACCCGCCCTGCCTCATCGTCTGGGTGGACGGAGCCGTTGGAGAGCCGCTGCAAGGCAGCAGAGAGGGAGGCGGATGCCGGGCTGCCCCAAAGCACGGGCTGGCATTGCCTGTGGCTATGCAATGGGGGAACATGGCCCTGCAGGGACCCAGCGAGGTGGTGGGGAGTGGAGACATGGGCCTCTGGGACCCTCTGTCAACAGTCTCCACTAGCCAGGGATGTGGCTTCTCGCAGGCATGATGGAATAAGGATGGCTGACGGCTTCCCAGATTGTCTCTGGGAAGCAGATCCCCTAGGAGCACCTGAGCAGGAGCAGAAATTCCCCTCCGCTCAGAAATGGCCCGTATCGACCGGAAAGGGCATTTCCCAGGGGGCTGGACACAGGGGAGACGGAAAAAAATTTCAGCACCCTGGAGCCAGTGATAAGGGGGTTGGAGAAATGACGGCCTCAGTGAGCATGGTCAGAGCAGGGGTTTCTGGGGCTCTCACCTTCCAGGGAAGCTTCTGCGCTGGCTCCTTGGGCTCCCTCTCATCCCGCTCACCCACCGGGGCCTCCCGCACGGTGCCTTGCTGCAGAGCTGCCACCTGCATGACAACAGGGCTTAATTAATGAGAGAAAGCAGGTGAGACCAGCTGGTCTGGCCGCGGGTGAGGCCAGCCCCTGGTGCACCCAGGTCTGCAACGGGCTTCCTGCTGGCTTCCTCCACCATCATATTCAGCCGGTGCCTATGGCTGGGGGGAAACCAGAGGGACAGGGTGAAGAAGAGAGGGAAAGGCAGAGATGCTGTGAAGGCTCAGCACGAACGGAGGATGAAGTCACATCTTGCACAGACACAGCGGTGCTGGCTACAGGCACACAAAGAGCCTGAGCCCCAGCAGTAAGGTTTTGCTGGTGAGCCCTTGGGGACCTGAGACCTGCATCCCAGGACTCCCCCCAACTCATTTAACTCGTTTGGAGCCAGACAGCCTCCAAAGCCGGTGCAGACGTCGCCAGCAGGAGCGGGGGATAAACACGGACATCGCACCCTGCTCTGCTGGGGGAGGATGGGGAAAGGTCCCTGCGAGGTGACCGAAAGCCAGGCGCTGCCATCCCACCAAGCCTGGGGAATAGCGTGAGACACATCCTGGGAACTAGAAACAGGAGCAAAATTTGGCCAGGCAGAGGCTATAAGGATGGCTCTTTCCTTTTGGCAGTGGTGGCCGGGCACGAGCTTCAGGAAGGAAAGCAGGGTTAATATCTCTCCAAGGTGAAAAGGGCTGGATGCTGGGGATGGCGAAGGCCCCATGCCAGGGCCCGAGCAAGGAAGGAGATGGGGGATGCAAAATGAGGCGCTCAGAGCAGCGAGGTCTCTGCTGAGGCAGGGAAAACCCCAAGTCACTCTCAGCCCCCTGAAATGATTCAAGTTCAGGTTGCTTTTCTCAGTGAAATGAACACCAAACAGCAAAACAACAGAGGAAACCTTGCCCATAAGACAAAAGTTCTCAGAATATTTACAAATTTTCCTTAAATACAGACAATCCTTCATGTAAACAGCAATTCTAGAATAAAAGCCTTATATTAAAAATGCCCAAACGCCACTTCTCTGATCTGTACGATCATTTGAGGGTGACATTTCAGCAAATTCAACATCAATGCACAAATGTAACACAGAGCAGTCCCAGCCCCGCGGGTGCCCCAGCAAGGGCCCAGGGCAGGCTGCCCAAATACCTCTTACCTGCCGATGGGCATCCACGAGCTGCTCCTCCAAGGTTGCCACTCGCTCTAAGGCTGCTCGCAAGCGTTCCCTGACCTGCAGTCGTGTAAGAGAAGGGAAAAAGCCGTTATTTATCCATGATGAGGGTGCTCAGGATGTAGGCAGGCTCCCAGCCCCTTTTGTCTGGCTGACAGTCAGGCTCAGGTGGGTCCACGTCCAGGGACCAGGCTCAGGGATGCTCCAGCCCATCGCCTGGGAGAGCGAAAGCATCAGACTGGGCCAAGCTGACTCTGGCAGACCTACGGCCAGGACAGCTTGAAGACATCTTTTAGCAGAGCAAGGAGGTGTTTGAGGCAAATGAATCAGGAGGAATAATAAGAGTTGTAACGCGAAGACTGAACCAGGGTGCCAAATGCCAGCGCTCACCACCACCATGCGAGTGAGCCGGGGAAGCAAATTTGCCGTCCACGACAGCCTCAAACCCACAGCATCCACTCGGCAGCCCCACCACCTCCTAAAATGAGGGTGCTGCATCTTTTGGATATCCAAGACCTTCTGCCTGAGGGACCCCATGTCACCACCGAGCTTAACAACAAATGGCATTCAGCGTGAGGGAGGAGGAAGGTTGGGAGAAGGTCAGCTCTGAGCAGGGGATGCTCATGGAGCGAGCCAGGAGAGGTCCCAGCAGCCTGTCTCACCTTTTCATCTAGCGCCTTGTGATGCTCAAAGAGTGACTTGAGCGCCTTGAGCACCTCGACCTCACTGGAAACCCCAGATGGCGACTGGGCCTGACGCTTGACCACTGTCATCCTCAGGGATCGCTCATGCCTCGACACCAGGCACTCCAGGTGCTCCAGCAAGAGCTGCAAGAGGGCAAGAATGAGGCTCTCGCAACCCCAGGGGCTGGCGATGCCAATATTGGCCCAGCAGCCTGTGGTGTCCCACATTTCTGAGGACTGGAAGCCAGACAGCAGGTTTTATATGCTTACCCGGGTGTTATTGCGCTCGGCTTTCAGCTCCGAGATCTCCTCTTCCCTCTCCAGGAGCTGCTCCCGGCACGCACTGAGCTCCCGTGTCAGCGTTGCAAACTCCTGCAGAAATCAGGGCACGGCCATGAGCAGGGAGTATGGGATGGAGACGGAGCCAGCATCCCGGCCCCAGTGCCGGGACCTCCAGCACAGAGCATTTCCCATCCAAACCCAACCAGTGAGAGATGGGGACACCAAGGGGAACACCAAGAAATCGGTGGAGAAGCACAGCCAGGCTGGGAGGTGATCGATTCCTGGCTTCCCTAAGTGCTTTGGACAAGGGAGAATGCAGCATCCCAATATTTATCCATTTGGTTTGATGTCCAATGACACAAGAAACTGCTCTACAGCTCCAGAGGTGCTCGATGGCATTTAAAGCATCCCAGTCAAGGTCACCAGCATGCTCCCATCCCCACTGTTGCCTTGATGCAACCCAGCAGAGCACCCACCTTGAAGCACCCCATCAAGCTAAAACTCACCGCAAAGCCACAGCCGGCCAGGATGGGTCCCCTGGCCCCAAGCCAGCCTCTGCAATGGCCTCAGGACCTGGCATCATCCAAAATCTCCTTCCAAAGGAAACAGTAAGATCTGCCCCAGTCCAGCATGTGGGTCCCCATCAAGCTTCTTATGGGGCACCCCCAAGCCCCAAATCCCAGCTGAGAGAGATGGGGCACAGCAGGAGATGTGGCAGATGCACCAGTCCTTGCTCCAGTGACTGTGTCCTCCAGGGAGGTGACAGCCAGCAAGGAAGGCCTTTGCCAAATGGCGATGCCAAAGCAGAGCTGCAAAGCTAGCAAATCCTTTGGGATATGATGGGCTCCTCAGAAACAGAGCAATCGTCCTTGTGACTGAGTCGGAGGGGAAAGGAAATCCACTGTGAAGCTCCTAGGATGCGGGAGAGTTCATTTTCCCTTAAAAAATGAAAACCAAGCACCTGGGTTAGCCCAGGAGCACTCTCCCATTGCTCCCAGTTGCTCTTTCAGTCGCCAAATGGTGCCAGGACTGAGTGACATTTTGCAGCTGGGATTTTTTGGGGTGAAAAATGCAAATGTGGAAACGCTTCATGAATTTACACCAGTTTCACAGTGGTGTTAAGAAGAACTCAAAAAGGAAAAGGGTTTCAGAAGAAGCTGAGAAGGATTTGATCGAGCGTTAACAAACCAAATTTCAACTGAGGGCTGAGGGCGGTTTTACAGCATGAAATTCTCTTTCACTTTAATTTTCAAGTTAAACAAATAAAAAACCTTCAAACTGAAGCAAAACCTTGAGGCTTAGGTTGAATCAAATGCTCTGCTCAGCTCCAAGTGAAACCTCTTGCAACAGCTGATGATGATCAAGAGCTTTCTAATCTCTGTCCCAGCTAGATTTTCCCTCTCCCTTCCCACCCCAAACTGCTCGCACTGGTATGGTTTTTAGCCTGGGGTTGGTGGGGATGGTGGTGCCACTGGTGATGCTGAGACGCCACAGCAGGACAGGACCTGAGCATGCTGCAATGTGGAGGAAGAGAAAGAGCAATCGCAACGGTGGAAGTCGGTCATCGTCCCTATAAATAGCTGCTTTTCTGCCCATCGCCATGCCTCAGGGCTGCTGCCACCCAACGTCCTCGCCCCAGCACCGCCCCAGGGCCTGAGTCCTCCAGCTCCTTTCCAGCCCCAATCCTGCTCCATCGCTTCCCCCGGGACCGCTCCAGCCCTGGGGTCATCCCTGTCCCTATCAATTGTCCCCCAAATTGGTCACAGCCCCCAAACCTCCGTCACCAGCCCCTGCCATGCCCAGGCACCATCCTACGCTTGCTCTTGGACCATCCCACAGCCCCCCAGTGCGCAGTGAACCCCACTGTGGAGCGGCTTCCCCGGGAGATCGCTGTGCCCCTTTCCCAGAGCCGCGCTCTCCCAGCCGGTGGGGATTACGGCTCGGCACAGCGGCACGCGCATGTGCGTGCGCACCGCTGGGTTATGCAAGCGCTGCGCGCAGGAGCGAGCAGCCCGCAAGCATCCTCGTGGATTATATCGGGGCTGGGAATGCCGGTGAGCAGAAAGCGTGGGAGAGCGGCAGCAAGAGTTGCCAGATTAGGTGCTCATGCACCACTGGCTGCTTCGGATTTAGGGATGTGTCCCTCCCCCCATCCCTCAACATGCCAGGAGACAGGCAGCAAGGCTTAAGGAGCTCAGCAAAAGCATCCTCGCAGCCATGGTGGCCCCGGGAACGTCTTTCAGCAGCCCAAGCTATAATGACGGGTGACACATTGGCTGTGGACTCCCTCCCAGCACTGGGGCAGGGACCCTGTGGATCCAAAGCCCCCAGATCTGCAAAGGGTGGAAACCTCTTGCTCTGTCCCATGGCTGGCAGGGGAAGCTGGGGCTGCTGATGTGGATGCTCTCCCCGCTGGGGCGAACAGAGCGATGTGCAGCGTGGGATGGATGGGACAAGGCATTGGAGGCAGCAAGGGAAGAGGGATGCCATGCTGGGGACGGTGATTGCCAGCGCTCAGCCCTCCTCACCCATGTTGCCTGCACGGCCTGCCCAGGCTGGCCAAGCTATACAGATTGTGCCCACAATCAGGCTTTTGTCCCGAAAGGCAAGGAGATTAAAAGAGAGAGAAAATCTGCTGGAGAGAGACAGGCAGCCCCCACCCCGGCCAGCCCGATGCAATCCATGGGTCAGCGGGTCAATGCATGGTGGTGGCTGTGCTCCCGGGCACAAAGCTCCCGCCCGACCCCATCCCATCGGAGTGCTTCTCTCCGAGCCCTCTGCCCCACCAGGAATGGATCCTTGCGCCCCAGCACGGCTGCCAGGCCAGGAGCATCCCGTGGCAAATAAAGGAGACCACGATAACTGTCATTCCTTGGGGAAAGGCTGCAAAAAGGAGCCTTTACCACCAAAACCAGCAACACCCCTGCAGCAAGACAGGACAGCAGTAGGGGTTAGCCAAGTTCACAGGGCTGGGGGCATTTGCAAGCCTGATTTTGATGCCTTGGGAATAAAAAATAGGAATAAATAACTCTAGCACCCACCTGTAGCTACCTCCATCAGCCCTGGCTGTGCCAGACGTCTGCCCTGGCACTGCCACCTTGCTTCTGGGCCACCGGTGGGCACCAGGTGAGTTTGGGGACCATGAGGACAAGCTGTCCCCAGCTCCCGGCTGCACTGTCACACCGCGAAGCGCAGCTTTCACCCCCATCCGCAGGTATGCCATTGCCCTAAGTCCCAGCGAAGTGGCGATAAAGAGGATCCCGGAGATTTTTCTCTGGCCTGGCCACAGCCAGGAGTCTTCCAGGAGATGCAGAAGCGCCTGCCCCTGGCTCCGATAAGCTCTCAAACTAAGCAGAGACACCTATAAATGGATTAGAAAGTGAAGGAGAGATGCCTGATCTTCAGCCAAAGGAGGGATGATGAGACACAGCCCTGGGAGTCCTCGGGAGCCCTGTGGGAAGCCCAGCAGCCTGGGAAGTGGCTAATTTGGATTAAAACCAAACCACCCAAAGCACGACTGGCTGGGCTCAGCCCCAAGCCAGAAGGGAGCAAGGCGGACGGGTGCTATTTTCACCGTCAGAGGAGGGAGGGAGGCCCGGAGCACCACGCAAGGTATTGAAATGGGGCGTTGTGGCTTGGATCTTTGGTAAGCACCAGGCATGTTTGGGGTCTGGGATGCCCTTGGCGGCATCAATGGGGAAGGCACAGGGAAGAGCTGGAGGGAGGCCAGAAACCAGCTAGGAGAGGTTTAGGAAGCTCAGGGGGAGAAGGCTTGTAGCATGAAAAAGCTGAAATGCAAAAGTCCTCAGCCCAGAGCCATCTTCTGCCTTTCCCTGTGACATCCACAGCACAGACAGGGATGCAGAGAGAGTGCACCAAAGCGAGCAAAATTCCTCCGTTTGTTGCAGGAATGCAGCCACCGCTCCAACACACCTGAGCCTTGGGAACAAACTGGCTCCAGCTGTGCAATTAATGGAATTTTAGAGCCCCTAATTGGAGCAATTGCTCCTGACAGGCCAGGTGTGTGATGGGGGGTGATGTGGGAAGGATGCCCGCTCCAGGAAATCAGCACTGCTGACTCAGCACACGAAGGATGGAGCCCCGTCTGTCCGTGCTGGGAGTTTGCAGACCCATCACCTCGGTTTCTTCTTGCTGTCCCAGGAGCAGTGCAGAATTATCAGAAAGCCCTAAGGCACAGTTGAGGGGATAAACACAGCCCTAACAGTGCGTAGCATGGGATTACGAAGATTAAATCCTGCCGGGTAAACCCAGAGCTTTGACCATCACCCATCCTCGGTGCCGAGTAGTGCAGGGGCACGTCCTGGACCTCTTGGCCACAGCACTGTGACTCTGCAGGGATCATCCATGGGGAATTGGTGTCCTCCCCTCTCAACACGCGCTCACCGTGTGTATTTCCACCCAGGATTGCTCAGGGAGGAGCATCGTGCAGCCGAGCAAGCAGGAATACAAGATCTCAGCACCCGGGTCTTGTGGGAGGGAGGTGAGCTCCAAGGATTCAGTGCTGAGCCACCAGATCCCTCCATCTTTCCCCAAAATCTTGAGACACTTTAAAGGTCTCACTCAGTGGGTGTTTTCCTCTGGCTTGGAGCTGCTGGGGTTCCTATTTTCACATTGCTTTTTGCAAGTGTTAACTCTAGATATATTTTTAAGTTAAATGGGAGGAATTTGGGGTGATCTTTTGATGCCAGGACCCTCCCCAGCTCCCTCCCCAGGGAGCTCAAGGAGTCTTAGGGGGTCTGCCCACCCCAAAAAGCCCAGCTCTCAGCTCTCCCGGCAGCCGCAAGAGGCAGTGGATGCGCAGTGGAGCTGGGCATGGAAGGAAGAGCTGTGGGAGGTTTCCGTGACCATTGTAGCCCTCAGCACAGCAGCCCCCATGAAACTGGGAGCCTGTTCTCCCCCTGACGCAGCTGGGGACATGGACTGCTGCCAAACCCCCTAGCCCTGGCAGGGCAGGGAGAAGTGCCATCCCATGCAGGACCCCACACCAGGAACACATCTGGATACACTTGGAGCCCTGCACGACGCATCCCCGGGGTGGCACCCACACCCAGGAGAGCAGAGGGGGAGCTGAGCTGAGCGGCCAGGCAGGAGGGAGCTGGCAGCCATGCCAGGGCCCCGGGGGGCTGCTGAGAGCACCCAGACCCTGGCCAGGGCTTGGTCCTCAGCCACACACCCCCTGTGCAAGCAGGGAGGGCAGAGGGATTGGAGCCGAGAGCTTTCAGCCCGATTAAGTTGTGTTCAGCGTTCCCACATGAATAAATAAATCATGTAAGAAGCATTAAGGCAGCTTAGTTTCCCCGGGAAATTGCCCTGGAGTTCTGCCTTTTGGGGGCTGAGGGATGCCCCCCATGGATTAGGGGGGGAGGACGGCTTGGCCACATGGCAGCCAAGCCCCACACGAGCAAGGGGGAATAGGAGCCACAGGCAGGAGCATCCCTGGAGCACCCCTGCCTGCCCCATGCAGGGGTTTGCCCCAGACAGACACATTCCCTGCCTGTCCCATCGATGGCTCTGCCAGCGCTCTGGATCCCGTCCCGACACAGCGGCATCCAGCTGCTACTGTGCCCTGAAAGGATGCAGAGTGCCATGTCCCCCCCCACCATCCGCCCAGTCCTCCCCAGGCAGCACAGCCTCCGCACAGCCAGGGCTTGGCTCTTTGGTGACACTGGGGAAGGGCTGTCAGCCTCCTGGGTGGCCACCAGTGAGGCTGGGTGCCCAACCCTGCCCGAAAAAAAGGGTTTCTTCAAGCAATCCAGCTTGAATCCTGTCCCAATGGGGTCTGACACGTTGCAATAAGGCAAAAGGGCTCACAGAGAGGGAGGAAGAGGATGGGACAGGCCCGTGGAAAGCCCCCACGCAGTGCCCCAGGGAAGAGACCCACCGCATCCCGCTTACCTGGTACATGCACATGCTGGGATTAATCCCATTGGGCAGGTGAGCGCCTTTGGATTTGCTCCCTGCATTCATGCCGAGCCCTCATCTCCCACGAGGGCGGCCGGTGCAGCCGTGAGGGCGAGCGGTCCAGTGGGCACTGGGGGCCGCTGTGCCCAGGCGCAGAGCCCCTCTGCCCACGCAGGGACAGGCAGGGCAGCAGGAGGCAGCGGGAGCTCAGGGAAATTCCCCATCTGCTGCCCACCCTACTCACATCCCTCGCTGTGGTGCAGGGTGCCAGAGGCAGCCCTGGCTGGAGTGGGGCACTCAGCGGGCTTGCGGGTGCAGGCGCTGCCACTGAGTCCCTTTGCGCTGACCCAGTTTGCTGTGTCTGCATTCCGCCCGTGCCGAGGCACCGAGGACCCTTTATTGGAGCAGGAGCAGAGACTAAATCCGCGCAGTCCCTTAATCCGAGGCGGCTGTGGCGGGGCGGGCGGCGCGCGCTCAGGGTGACCTGGCTTGCTCTCTCTGGCGCGCGCTGGCTGGGAAGCCGGGAGCAGAGGGGATGAGAGCCCCCGGCACATAGGAGGTGGTGGTGGCCCTGCCTGCACCCAACGCTTGGGCACATCTCAGTGCATCTCTAGGGGCAGAGAGCAACTCATCCACAGGGATCCCAGGAGCTCCTGGGGAAGCACTGTCAGGTGTTTTGCTTTCAACAGCCCAGGCAGAGCCAGGACCAGCCCAGCTCCGTGGATGGGGACATGGGCTGCCTGCCTCCTGAGCTGCTTTCCCCTGTTTGGAGCAGAGGAGGGATGCCAGGAGCTGGCCAGCCACCAGCCAAAGCTCTGTCCTGGCTCGTGCCACCAGTTTTGATCCATTGGTTATTTCCCACCTCCCTGGGGTGCCCTAAAGCCCAGCACCTAGGTAAGGCAGGAGGACCTAAGGTCTCAGCACTGGGGCAGCTGACAGCGTTGGAAGCCTCCTGCTTCCCCTGGCTCCTCGCTGGCTCTCCCCACATCACAACCACAACAAAGTGGTGCAAAAACCCCCCTGTATCCTGCTTCCTCCAAGTCTGGGCCCTGGGACGCTGTGTGCTGCCCCACAAGACCCCACAGGGAAGGTGGGCAGCTCGTTTCCACCCTGCGCAGCCCTGCAACGCTGATCCACCCCATCCTCTTGGATGTGGTTATGTGGTTAATGTCCCCATTTGGGGACTCTGTAACTGCCAGGGGTACTCATGAAACCAAGGGCTGCCTGACGTCCCAAGGAGCTGGCTGGAGGCAGCAAGCCAGATCTGCTACCCGAAATGTGTTGTCTGCTCCCTAAGCACTCTTCAGTGCCAATGGGCGAGTGCAGGCTCTGCATCTGCCTCCCTGTCGCCCTGGGGTGTCCTCAGGAAGGTTTTGCCCCTTCTTCATACCATTCCCCTGTGCAAGAGGGGGGATTACAGTCCCACACCTCCCTGCATGGACTCACAGACCAACAAGGGGTACAGAGGAGAAGGGGAGATGTTCCAGCTGGTTGTGGCTTGGCCTGGGAGAACCTATGGGGTCTGCTATTGGCATGAGCTGCAACACACCCGGCAGCATCCCCGCTATCATACCAAGCTGGCCTTCCTAAAGGCATGAGCTAAAAATCTCATCCGAGCGGCCGATCACCCTCATATGCCTCAGTGAAGGCTCCTGCTCATGCCAGGGCCAGATCCTTACCTGTGGGAGGGCCGAGTTGAGTTGCCTCTGGAGCTGGTCACGCTCCCGTAGGGTCTCCTGCAAGCGGCTCTGGGTGACAGAGAGTGTCTCGCGGGTCTCCCGCAGGGTGTCCAGCAGCTTGTCCCTCTCATCCAGCATGTTCACCATCAGCTGCTCAAAGTCGGCGTCCGCCTCGGAGCCCTGTGGGGGACCCAGAGGGTCCCCCTCGCTGATGGTGGGCATCACCTCGCACATCATGGCGGGGCACGACGGGTGGGCAAGGGTCCTGAAGGTGCCTGGTGGAGCGGGCGGTGGGTGCTGTTGAGCTGTGGGGCCCCGATCACATCGCTATGGGCTCCTGCAGGTCAGGGGAGCCAGCACGGGAGGGGGCAATGGGGTGGTAAAGGTGAGGGGGATCCCCCATCCCTTCTTCCTTGGTGCTAAGCAGAAGCTGGCATCACTCTGGCAGGGATGGAGGGACGTCCTTGGCACCGACAAGGCCCTCGCAGTCTTAAATCCCCCCACTCGGCTGTTTGTCACTGCCAGGGTCCCTTGTGTCACCTCTCTGACGCCTTTCAGAGGGGCTGCAGCATCAGTGAGCCATGGGGGTGTTCAGAGGGGGACAAAGCGAACCTTGAGGACTTGTCCCAGTGGGGAGCCCCAGCTGGCAGCAGCACAGGGAGGATCCGGGGGATATTTGGGCTGCCTGGGCATGCTGAGGAGGAGTCCAGTGACGGTGGGCTGTTCTCCCCAAGGCTGGATGAGATGGTTACTGCTGGTGTGGGAACGCGTCTCCGTTTGGCATCACAGCTCTTCAAACACACAGCGGTGACCTGCAGGAGAAGGCACAGAGATCAGATCCCTCCTGCCACCCCCAAAATGCCCAGGGCACCTACCCAGCACCCTTTGCCCCCCATCAAACCCTGGAGGGCTGCAACAGGTAGGCTCAGGACCCACAGGAATGGGCTTGTCAGGTTGTACCACCCTGCACCCATGTGGTCATTGCATCCAATATGGTACCGAACTGCAGAGAACAGCATCCCTGGGACCCAAAATCCTGCAATAGTCATTCACGTATCCCGGGCCAAGATCCTGTCCCCTCCGAGGAGCACCTGGCTGCCAAGGCACCCCATGGCCCAAGTGCCCTCCAGCTGCAGAAACTCTCCGTTTGCAGAAAATCAGGCTTAAACCTGAGTTTGGCCCAAACCTGGCATGAAGTCACAGCAACAAATGAGTTGTATGATCAGATTAATGTTCAGCTCCCCTCTCCCTGCAGCACCAACAGGGACAGATGCGGTGGGACCGGCCATTCAGTATTAACTGAACGTCAGTGCATCCTCCATCAGTCAAACCTCTACCTGGGGGACGGAGGCAACAGCATCCACGAATTACTGCCCAAGCACAAGCACCATTCCCCAGCCAGTGCCAGGGATGAGAAGCTGGAGGGCAGAGGCAGAGCTGCCAATTTGAGCAGCAGCCTGGATTTAGACTGAATTAAAGCATGGGTGGACCCAGGGACTTGACCCCAGGGGCGTTGCTGGTACCTGCAGCCTCATCTCCACTTCTGCAGCCCAAAACCACCGGGGCGAGAGGCTGGGATGTCTCCCATCCCAGCTGCAAGCAAGATGCCAGACAGGGATTTTTGGTGACACAGACCTTTGGGTGAGCTTCAGCCCACTACAGCCAGACCAGGGTCCCAGCAGCAAGGGTCGGTGTGCCACTGTCACCCCAGCTGCCCTGGGGACCTGCCCACCCCATACTGCCATCTTTGCCAGGCTTTGTCCGCAAGGGGATAAGCTCAGCGCAAGGGCCGCTGGTCTATAATGCTTGTTATGGGATAGCCGCCCTTAACTTAGCAAGTTTTTAAATCTTTACAACAGATATAATGTTTGAGGCTAGGTCTGATTAGCCTTATATCACCCCTCTTTCAAAACAACAGACGCACATGGACAAAAAGGACCTGCACGCAGTCATGGGCCAGATCAGCCCGTTCTGGCCCTCTGGACGGGAATAAAAGCTCGTGTCTCAAACAGCTCGGCGGCACAGCGGGGCACTTCTACCCCGTTCAAAGGCGGCATGCGTAAGGAGACGCTTTTGTGCGCACCCAGATGCGCAGACACACACCGCCGGGGACAGGGGAACCGTAGCTCCGTTCTTGGGATGACATTGGCTCATCAGCTGATGGGAAGTTTGACACAAAAAACCCTCTAAAAATAGAGAAGCTCTGGCAAAAGCACCAGTCCCTCACTGTGCATCCAGCGCGTTACGCTGAAAGCCGGCTCCCGCATGCCGGGGACGTGGGTCAGGGCGTCCCACAGGTGTCTGTCCCACCTCCTCCCCCTTTACAGATTTAAGTTGCGTTCCTCAAGTGGGATAAAACCTGTTACGGGCATGTAATGCTGTCCTGAACTTTTGAGGCTTGTTGATGCTCCTTCCTGGCCGTTGGGACATGGATGATGGGATAACTGTGACTGATATCCCGTCCCCGCAGCATCCCTGCAAAAAGGAGGCTGGTGGAGGAAAAGGCACGGAGCGAGGGAGCACTCCAGCCCCCTGCTCTCCTTGGGTTGAGTTGGACATGAGCCCCATTCCCATAATGAAGCAGGTAAAACGTTTTCAAATCCTCCTTCCCCTAATTAGCAGCCCCAGCGGTACCCACAGACGAGCACGGCCACGCTGCCAGCCTTCCTGGAGGGAAGATGCCCCAGGCTCTAGGAAGACTGGGGGCCAAGAAGGGCAGAAATCAGCCTTACCCAGGGCTAAGCCCTACTAATATGGGTGCAAAACCCAAATGAGGTGACTTTCATGCCTCATCTTGCTGCTGTGCCTCTGCTTGTGGGATGAGCATGGAGAAAGCATGTCCACGCCGTGGAAAGCCAGACGGCCCCACAAGCATGACGTGAATGGCAAAATCAGCCACGTGGCTGCGTCCCCACCTCGGCTGCCGGCAAGGAATTGAATGAATTAGCAGGTGAATTAAGAGATATCAATCAAGGCACAGAGGGAAGAGCCCTGCAGGCACTCAGGGAGGGGAAATGCTGCAGGCAATGGCCAAGACATAAATCTGATGGGAGCGATGATGGGATGGAAATTTATCCCAGCTGCAAAGGAGAGACTTGCTTACCACGAGGAGACTCCACAGACGCCAGTCCCAGCAGGGCCATGGCAGCTCCCCACACCCCGTGGAGGTAATCCAAGGGGCTGGACCCACACGGTGCAGGAGGAGACACAGGTTTACCCCATGCATCACCCAAGAGCTAATTTTCTTATTGCTTCCCCCACAGCTGAGCCCGTGCATGGGTGGCTGGGGCGGTTTGGGTAAGCTCACGTGCTATTTTGCTTCACTGCAACCTGCTCCTGTACACAGTTATATCCTGTTATATATGTACCGTGCTTGGGAAGGGAGGCTGGGGGTGATAAGCACAGCCTGGACACCTCAGCCTGGGGAGGGTGATAACAGGATCATGGGGACCTTGCACAGCACCGATGATGGTCCAGGACAGACTCATCCCAGCTCGCTGGTCCCCAAAAGCATCTGTGCTCTGCCCTTCTGAGCATGCTCAACAAAGATGTGGTACATAAAACTGTCCACCGAGGACAAGGCAATGCTTAGTGACTCAAAGCTCCTCAATGCCCAGAGCTTGGGGGATGTCTTCGCTGGAGGGTAGTCGCGTTCTCCCCTTGCACCCCGGGCCACCAGGCATGGGTAGTATGGAGGATATGCACTGTGGCATAAGGCAAGGAGAGCTGCTACAATCCTCTGCAGCACTACCAGCAGGGATGAGACTTCCTACCACCACAAAGAGCAGCCAAAGCCCTCCTTGTCCTGGCCTGAAGCCCCCAGGCAGGTGGTGGGCAGCCAGCCCAGGGCGTTCGGGGCTCTCCGCACTCCCTGTGACACCCTCCACCATGAGCATCCCTCTGCCAGCGGGTCCCTGGCTGCTGCTCTGCCACCTCCGAGCACAGCTCTGGAAACATTTCAGCCACGTGTGCCCATCTCCTGGCTGAATCCACGGCAAACCCCCAGAGTAGAAAACTCCGTGCACTGCGGAGGCACCAGTCACATCCAAAACTGCTACGGGCAGACACTGAGGTGCCGCTAGTGTCCCTGTTTCAGAGCCATCCCGCCAACAACCACTGGGCAATTCTCCTACCCCACGGCCTCAGAGCCATTATTTCTGGATTCAGCCACAGCAGCTTTCACTGCAAAACCAGAGCAACAGCAAAACCACAAGCCCGAGGAGTAGCCCAGCTGACGGGAAGGACCATCATCCAGGGTCAGGGCGGTTGCAAAGGTTTTATTTGTGATGCCAAGTGAGGAAGCCAGGACCAGGCTGGGTTTGATACCTGCTGTCTTCAAGCCCTTTGGAGCGGGAAGTGTGTTCGGAAGGGACACACACACATGCAGCGACATCCATGCATGCAGGGACGTGCACACGAGTAGGGATGTGCACGGGTGCAGGGATGGGCATGCGTGCAGGGACACGTGTGTGCAGGAAGCTCCTGCCTTGGGTCAGCTCCCCTTGACATGTGCATCCCCTCGTTTCTGTACCACCTCAAACCCTGGGATTTTCTCCGTTCTCCAAAAGCAACAGAAAATCACCCATGCCCACGCACCTCTTCCCCCGGGAGCCCAGCTGGCGGTTGCATACACAAGATGCTCGTCCCCACACAGTGAAGCTCAGCATTTCTTCGGCGGGCCTGCATGCCCAACCAGTCACTTTTAAGGACTTTGGGGATGTCAGTGTGGATGATGGCCCAAATGCATCACACGCTTTGCTGGTGACTTTAGCAGCAGCGAGGGCAGACCGAAAGCAGCCCTTCGGCGCTGGATGTCAGAGGGGTCTGAGCTTGCTCGCAATTAGCGGAAAAACGCTGCCTGTGAGTCTCAACCTTTCAACTGTATCTGGTAAAACTACGTAAATGCTACTGCCCGGGTTTAAAGGGCCTTAACTGATGGGATAATCATTGGGTAGAGGAGTGAGGATGCGAGGAGACAGCTGGTGAGCTGAGAAAGCAGACACTGCGCAGCTCTAGCCCTTTGCTGGGTATTTTTAGTCCCACGGGGCTGCCAGGCACAGACTTGCTGGAAGCAGGTTTGTTGCCAGTGAAAACGTGCTTGCTTTACTATCCCTTCCCCCTCCCAGCAAAATCATGCTTTCCCCACTCTTTGGGATGGAAAACAGCACAGTCACGCGCTGCCCGCTTGGAGAGGCCAGTTTGCAATGATGGTGCCCAGACGTGGAGCAGCTGATGGA